TATGTGGAAGATATTTTGTAGGTACAAAAATAGCTGCAAATAAAGTACTCTACGTGGAAATTTCTTCCTGGCCTTGTTTAGAATCACACACTTATTTGCCAAACAATGCCAATTGATATCAAAGAATATAAAACCTTTCAGCCATGATAGGATGCAAGTTTCATGCTCAAGGTTGAAATTTTCAATGCATGGGGTACTTTCAAGTTATTTGAAATTATTAAGAATATTTTATTGATTCACTTCTAAATTGAATAGAGACCCCCATTAAACTAAATTAATATCATCTATCAGAATCTAAGACAATGCCATGTGTATTTCTATGTCTTTATATACCATATAAGGTATGGCCAATATAGGATTAACGAATTTTCAATTGTGGATACATATGGATTGGTCCTAGGATTTGATGATACAGTAAGAGCACATTAAACAACGTTGAAGGCACCAGATAATTTTTGGAAAAGCATGTCATCTGCCACTTGAGCTTGAGCACAAAGCTTTCTAGATATTAAAAAGATTAAAACTCTCGTTTTGATATAGGCTAATTGATTTTCTGGCAAAGCAAATATCTTAAAAGGTAAATGATCAGAAAGTGAAGCCCTACTGAGTAAAAAACTCAAGACACCAATCTCTCTAATGCATGTAAAGTGAAGAACTGCAATCACGTAAAAAGCATGTTTGTAGATAATGGAAATTGTAAATGTTTTCAATAATCAGGTTATGATCAAGTGAAAATTATACCCAGTATAAACTTGTCTAAGGATTCACTAGGGATTTTGTGAACTTTTTGATGCATTCATCTTAGAGTTTCTAAAATAGAGGAAGAGGGAACAATTATGAGATGTTAACGAAGAATTTGTGACCGCAAATTGATTGACCAAATGCAATTGTAATTTTTATGGAGAACGTGAAGATGATAATGCGTAAAAAAAGCCTAGTTGGAAGCCTCATGCACATCACATCCATTAGGGTTCATTGTGCAAATTTCTTCATTGTGCAAGAGCCATATGGTTGTTGCAATGGGGGTTGGTTCTAAGGCGTCTAGAATGGACAGCGGTTCAGTTGCAAGGTTATTCAGATAGTGATTAGGCTGGGCTATTGAATGATATGAAGAGCACCTCTAGGTATTATTTCAATCATGGCAAAAAGTATTTTTCATGGTGTTCGAAAAAAAAAAAGAGCAAAACATAGTGGAAGTGAAATAAGTTGTTTGGTTGAAAAAGTTGATGTACGCTTACATCTAAAGCAAGAAGAGCGTGAAGGTGTCTGTGGATAATCAAGCTACTATAGCTATGTCAGTGAATCCAGAGATGTAGAAGGCAGAATGCAACACAAAGGAGCAAATAACAAATATTTTGATAAATAACACAAAGAAGCAAATAAAACCCTAATCATACACTTTCGTAATGCTCTAAAAACATTCCAAAAGTGTACGATTGTTTTTTTCTCATATACGGTGGAGATAATTACAGATATTTTTATGGATAATTTCTGAGTATTTTGGAAAACATTCAAACAGTGTGCAGAAATGCATTATACTAGGACAACAGGGAGAAGTGTCATTGTTTGGTACACAAAAGCATTATACTAGGGCACATAATCTCAAGAAAAGAAATCGAGGTGGATATGGAAAAGTACAACAAATTTCAAAACTTCAAACAGTAAAGGATATTCAAATTTTCCTAGGACATAAATTTTATAGATGATTCATAAAGGGTATATATATCTGAACTCTTATGCAGATTGTTAGAAAATGGACTCAAGTTGTATCATTTCAAGCTCTTGGGAGCAAGCTAGGTGTTTGCAGCATTTGATGTAGGGAGGAGAATGTTAATTAGCTCAAGTTGTAAAGGTCAAAGAAAGTGAACTAAAAATAGTGGAGCCTAAAATAGTAAAGGAGAGTCTTGTGCCTAAATAATAGTGTAGGCTAAAGTTTCTCAACCTCCCAAGAGTGAGGAGTATTGTGCAAGCAAGCTTTCTACCATACACTCACATGTTTTCTGTCATAAACTTCCCAATTCTTTTCTCTGGAGGGACACTACTCCTCTGCAGAGTGTTGATTTCTGCATTGTTCTGTTAGAAACATTTCATTTCATTGCATAACATCAGATACTTGTTTGTTAGCAATGCTTCCTAAGCATGGGCATGACTAGTTCTTCCAAGTATCCAAATATTTCAGCATATACTTGATTGTTATCGTAGATTCATTTTAGCTATTCTCAAGGTTATCGTAGATTCCTTGATAATAGCTCTTCTTATGATTTTGATTGTTGTAGGGATGACATTATTCTTTCAGGTGATAATAAAGTAGAACTGATCACTCTAAGTGAATTCAAATCAAGGACCTAGGAACACTAAAGTGCATCCTACAATTCTATTTTACACAATCCAGGAAATTTATCTTATTCTTTTCTTATATTGGCTTCTCTCCTATATAAAAGGGTCATATATCTTACCATTACACCTATATTCCATCTTTTAAATAAAGATGCCATCTTTGAAACATCAATCACAATCCTTGGCTGACGAATGAAAAGTTCAGTATAGTACTAACTCAAGTAAGGAATTTCCCTCCAAAAAAAACAAAGAAAAAAATTAAAAACAAGCAAGCAAAGTATAGACACCATGATTTACGTGGAAACCCCCTCAATGCGAGAGGGAAAAACCACGGGATAACTTTGAAAAGCTTCCACTATCAGATCAAATGCCAGGTTACAATCATTCTTTGACAAGAGAATATAATAACAATCATCACTTCTTATCTATAAATGGAACTCAATAAAACAAGGAGAAATTCCACAAAAAAAAAAAAAAAAAAAAACCGATTTGAAGAGAAACGAACTGATTTGCCAAACAAACCAACAAAGCTCTCTCATCTCCCTTGCATAACCTGGTGTGGTTGGTTCTTCCGACTTCCCTTTTTCTTTTCAATTGGGAAGTGTCTTTTCCCCGACTGTTTAAAATCTTTGTACTCCCAGTGATGGAAAATGGAATTGGAAGCGGAATTGGAAATAAGTCTTGGATACAAGAAGTAAGGATAAAGTAATTTGTTGGTTTGAATCGAGAAAGCACTGATGAAGTGACCAGATTAAAACTTCATAATGGTTGATATATAATATTGAAAAACTTCAATAAGAATACACATATGAAAGGCATGATTTGAAGGGATTTCACTCAAAAGATCGAAAATCTATGCATAAAGGTTGGTCAAATGTATAAGGGTTCAGTCTCAAATTTAAAAACAGGGGGTGGGGAGGAATAAAAAACGGAAAACTATGTTCAAGAGTACCACTAACAGAGGAAATCTCATACGCAATAAACAACGGAGGAAGGTATATTATTCATCAAGAGTACCACACTAACAGAGGAAATCTAATACGCAATAAACAATGGGGGAAGGTCGAATGTTTAGAAGCTTCTATTCAAGTCGTAATAATTGATCATCCAAATGAAGAAACTATATGGCTCAAAAATCATCGATTAAATAATGCACGCTCTGAGATTGGAAATAGAAAGTTCCTATATAAATGAAAAGTTTTCCTACAATGGAAAAGAGAAATCCTTCAACAAAATGTGGTAGTAATTGGATGTTGGAAAAAAACTAGCTTGAAAGCTCTGAAGAAAGCTATGAAGTTAGAAACTGATGATGAAAAATCAAAATATGCAAGTATTTTGCTATATTTCGCTCATGGATACTTATAATTGTTAACAAGTTAAAAGTGAGCCATGTGGTGATCATCTTAGGGTGATCCTTTTGTCGGATGCTCCTATTACACTAAGTTCCAAAGAAGAGTGAGGTAAGAAAATAAAAAAATCAAGGAGAAAAGCAAGAAGATTTCCGCTTAGAACATGCAAAAAGCTCAAAGAATGGAAGCATTATTTCGTTGATGAAAGTAAGAAACCATCCAAAAATACTAAGAGAAGCTAAGACCTCAACTGAAAGCAGATAGGTATGTGAGAAAGCTATTTTCAATAAGTTGAGAGCGATTATTTAAAACTGAAATGGCAAGCATTAAGAAATCACCCAATAGAAAACAATGCATGATATATTGACACTAATGTCTTCCAAAATGCAGCGATTCTTAGTTCAAAATATTGAAGAAAAATGTTAGAAAATTTTACGCGAAAGAGAATCGGGCAGCGATCAAATATACATTGAATGAGAGGAATATTAAAACACTTCAGAAAACCTATCGTAGCTATGGGAAGAAAGAAAACCAAGGAAAGAAAACCAAACAAAATAGTACCTCAGAAGGTTGACATGGGATTATAATCTATAAGAAATTCAATTGTTGGTATTTCGGAATTCTAAACAAAAAGAAATTGCTTGGAGAACTAAATTAAATCCCTAAGTATTTAGAGGATTCTTCATTGATTGAAGTGTTGTCTCCCGTAAAATTCCTTTTATTTCTTCGTTTCTAATGAATGGGTCTTTATGCATCAAAGATAGGACTTGTAAAGTATCAAGAGCCAATTCAAATCACTACCTTCATGGATTAGAAACAACGAAGCTCTTTTATATATAGTAAACCATGGCTAGAGAGCTTGAAATTGGTGGGAAGATGGTCAAAGCATTGAAACCTTTTCCTACAAACCATAATGAAACAGATTTGTCTACAAAAAAAAAAAAAAAAAAAAAAAAAAAAAAGGAATCAAAGAGGATATTTTAAAATCTGGAAGAGTTCTGGACCCCATATGCAACAAAATGGGTTAGGTTTGACAAGAAAATTGAGCAAAGGTAGTATGGAAAAAAAAAAGGCTTAAGATATGACAGTTCAAAAGGTTGACGAGAACTCACAATGATTAGAGTTATTCCATTTCACACAGGACACAAGACTTGATTTTGCATTTCCAAGTACTGATCATCTACTAGGACACGATGCATGAGTTAATTGGCAATGGAAGTTTATCTAGAGCAAGGAGTATTTCTCCTCTTAATTCAATACTATAAAGCAATAATATAAAGTAGTGAATCAAATAGTAGATAAGTCTAAGTAAAGAGGCCATAGGAAAGTAACGTTTTGATCCAGAAAGCAGTAACGTTGTTCCATAAATTTTCTTGCAGCAGAAAGCAGAAAAACTTTCTAAAACAAAATAAAAGGAAAGAGCAGAGTCGATGAAAAAATTGTAAACAGAGTTAAATTAACCTCTCTAATGACTACTGGAAAAAATTGGATTCCGATATCATATTCTGAGCGTGCTCGTATTAGAAAGAATGTTCTAATCATGTTGTTCATGAAGTTCATGGGAACGGACACCAATTCATTTATGAAAGAAACCATCCTTTGCTTGATTTAATAGAAAGAGAAGCTCTAAAGGATGAAGATTAACAAGATGGTGGGGGGAATATAAAATTATGGAAGAGTAATGAATTCATAGAAAAAGTTTAGAAGAGTCTCTAGTACCTAGAGTATTCTCAACCACAAGACTAAGGAGAAATTATTCAAGGAGGCAGAACAATAGACTGATGGTTTTATAGAAAAGTAACGAATAAGAGTTATGGTAAAACCACAGATAGGAGTTTAGAGGAGACAGCCGTGGCAGCAACCACAATTAATAATTTACTGAACTTTAAATTTTGAAAATCCGACAATAACGCAGCTATGTCAACCAAGTCATGAGACTAGCCTTCCTTTAAATTTTGACTAAGGTATTGGTGAGTGGTTGATTGAATGCCTAGTAATTGATGATAGAGAGAAGAAAAATTTATGTTCCTCACCAGTAATTCCTAAACTAGATTTTATTTTTCGAGAGCAATAATTTGGTGTTACAATATCTTTTTCTTGTAAACAGTCTGGAAGTTCTCTACGTTGTTACCAGACCCAAAGCGATTTGACCAAAAGCAACAAGGTTATTGATATATATATGTTAACAAGTTAGTGAAAATGGTCCTGACTTGGGCTACCCAGATGGGAAAAATCAAAGAAGCGAAGTCCTAATACTGAAATGGTGATGAAGGAAATTAAAAATTTGCAACTCAGTAATCTAAAATATTCCATATGTCAGTATTTCTCATTATAGGAGATTGAGAGAGAGAAGAAGATTTCCTTAGAGGATTTAAGTAGCTAAATGGAATTGGTGATTCTTTTCCGATCCTAGTAATTGTCAGTATTTCTGGTAAAAGTGCTATGGGTAGATATGTTTTTGTCTCAAGATGGAAGATGGAAGGAAGTTACCCTTTGAAAACCTTTATGATGCAACAAAATCTTGAAAGATGACACAAATAAAACTCTTGGCAAGGAAGTCTGTTTACTTCTAAGACTTGAGTTACTTCAATAGAAGGTCTACTATCAATTAAAGGAGCAAAAGAAAGTGGAAACTGTCTTTTTGGCGATATCCATAGTTTAGGAACCTATTGGTAGCCCCCAGTATCTGCGTACAAAGCTTCTTAGAAGTCTAAAAAGTCCCAGGACAATTAATGAAAAGCCTATGATTATATAAATGGTGGTTTAATCACAGTCGAATTTAACTTTGAGAAGATAGATATCAAATTCTTCTTCGCTCCTATTTCCACAAATGTTAGCAACACTGGTAGTTCCTTACAGTTTCTTATGTGTATAATAACCTTCCATAGAAAATATTTTACAACTTGGAGAAAGGGCTAAAGAGAGAGCCAAAAGAGGATCTTGTGTATAATCCTGCATAATCTCGAATGTTATCAGTTCCGGTACGTAGACCAAATGATACAATGCAAGCAAAAGTTCCTAGATTCATGGCGATATAGAACAGCATATAAGTTATCATGCTTGCATATCCACCATTTGAGTCTCCAACAATTATTCAAATAATTACATATCCGATTTGACCGATGGACGAATACGAATACGCAAGCATACGTTTCATGCTTGTTTGAGTAATAGCAATGAGATTCCCCAATATCATGCTAAGAATAGCTAGGAGTTCAAAAAAAAAGTCTTGGAATTGCTATAATCACTTTTTTTTATGTTCAAAATTACTCTAAAGAGACTTAATAACATTGTTGAATTCCATTAATGCTTTGTGTTTATAATTCATAAATCCACAGAAAAAAGAAATACTTGTTTCACACACCATTTAAGAGATAGAGAACAAGAGAAGCTTTCACATTTTGATTTGAAATGCATCATTATAAGAAATTAAGGAGCAATCACATTCTATCTATATCTAATACTAAACTCTCAAGCATAAGGTTGTTTAAAAGGGCAAGCTCTAGACGGATATGTCTCTTAGAATATACTATTATATATCTCATACATTTCTTTAATCCTTCAAAATTGCTTGATTTATTTACATTTTTAAATGAAATTTTCATTCCTTCAAATTGTTTTTAAATAATTAGAAGTGTACTTTTTAAGTGATTTTAATTATGATCAATTGCAAATCATTCTTTCAACTTGCAAGTAGGATCATCCAGTTGTATCCAATATTCATTTGTTATTTCTCATGATAAAAGAAGCACGTCAGGATTCAGGGACTTTAGGAAGTTCTACTTAGATATAGCTATGATTTTAGAGGCCATTTCTAATCTCCTAAAAGAAGTTCCTTCTAGAGACAACGTTAATACCAAGTGGAGAGACTTCATAAAATTCCTTCGCAAATACTTTCCAGCAAATTGGAAAAAGGGTGAGTGATTTTCCTCAACTACTTACAAGTTATGACATGTTATCCTCTTATACAATCAACCCCACTATCTTCTCGAAGCCAAACTGACACAGGAAACACCAACGGAGCACGTTACTTATGTAGTCAGATTGAAGAAGAACAGACAAGTGGGTTTCCTACTAGTGCTCTTAGCTCTCCCTAGATTATTTATCAGTCTCCAAACAACCAACACGATGGAATCATCGAACATGAAATAGAGAGGGAAAAATGTTTTCAGAGTGATCCTACTTGCAAGTTCAAACACTATCTACGCTGACCTCACAAACAAACAATTTTAAATTACTTGTTGTCAAATGAAAAGGAAAAAGAGCTTCTGCATGATATACAATAGAAAATTATATTTCCTACTAAATTAACACGCATAATATATACTTTAATGACTGGATGATTATCCACTAAACAACAATAAATATGGAAGTTAAGACTCTAAGAATAGAACTCAAAAAATGACTGAACTTTGGAAAGAATAGAAAATTATGCATAGTAAACGAATCTTCAAGATAATCAAAAAACAAGGAAGATGTTATTGTGTCTAGAATATCAGTGCACCAGTTAAATGGGAAGTTGTGTAGTGAAGATTTCAATGGGAATTTTAAAAAATGGGCTTGAAGTTAAAGAGGGAAAAGAAACCCATTAATTTACACATTTGTGCTGCTTGAATGAACCTTAAAGGCTTGTTAAGTCGGCCATCAAATAGTAAAAACTTAATACATAAACCCTTCTCGATGCAATAAACTATTTATGTTATAAAAATGAGTGCATGAGATTATGCATTATGAGAAGTGGAAAGTCAAGAGATAACAGTTTAATGCCATCCCATACAATGGAGCTTGTTTGAAAATCACACGGTGCTCTGCTAAATTGTTGAAGCTCAAAGACTTTTATGGTGACAGGAGAAAGATGCCTAATATGTTTTGGTTGCACGGAAATGATGAGAAAGGCCAAGTATAGCTCAATAAAAAATCGAGAATATAGACGAGGCTAAAGAGGAGCTACAGGAGTCATTTCAAAAGAGGACGGAAATCCTGAAAAATGCTCAAGAAAAAGAGTTCCAAGACTGGCAAGTTGTTACAAGGAATAGAGTTAGGACAAAAAGCTCGGGCCTAAAATTAACTACATATTGTTCATTTCTGAAAAGCATCAGGATCTCCCTCTAAACTGTACCAAGTTGAAATGGTGGAACTAACATGCAAGAAGAGTTGAAATGGTGGAACTGACATGCAAGAAGAGTAGAAGGAAGAACTATGGCCTAAAGGAGCTACAGCAACTAAATTCAACACAAAAAAATGCATGAAAATAGCTAAAAACCTGCTTGTGGGAATGTCAAGGGCATTGCCCATTTTATCAAATTCATCTATAAAATCCATTTTAAGCAAAGGTGAGGGAACTTCGGAGTATCAGTTGGCAGAAAATTCCCAGATTAATCAACTTTGAGCAAACAAAAAAAAATAAAAAATCAGACTTCAAATTCGTTTCCAAGGCTATAAATTAATAAATTAAAACAGAAATTTACGTAGAAACTTTTGTATTGGACAATTCTCGACTATACATTGTGAATTTCATTTTTTTTAAAAAAATGGGTGGCAAAAGAATGAAGAAATGATAATACAATAATTTTCCAGATATTAAAATCTTTCATTTAAAAAAATGGGATGCAGTTGGAATGAAAATTGAACGAGATCATTTTTTTAAGCATTAAAATCTTTAACAGAATCGCAGTAACATATTAGTTAATGAAAGGCATGGATTGGAAGCATAGGGAAATATGTGTTTGACCGACTCTCCACAATGGCATGATATTGTCCACTTTGAACAAAAGCTCTCATGGCTTTGCTTTGAGCTTCCCCAAAAGGCCTCATACAAATGGAGAGAGTATTCTTTGTTTATAAACCCATAATTATTCCCTAAATTAGCCGATGTGGGACTTTCATCCAACACCTCCCCTCAAACAAAGTGCACCTCCCCTTAATCGAGGCTCGACTCCTTTGGAGTCTTGGTCATTTTGACAACCTTTGAGGAGGCTCAACTCCTTTTCTTTTGGAGTCCTTTGTTGATATTTGAGGATTTACCAATCTATTGGCACGACTAAGCTTAGGACATGGCTCTGATACCATGATAGACAAACACAACTCTCCACCATGGTATGATATTTGTCCACTTTGAGCATAAGCTCTCATGGCTTTGCTTTGGGCTTCCCAAAAAGGACTCATACCAATGGAGAGAGTATTCTTTGTTTATAAACCCATGATCATTCCCTAAATTAGGCAATGTGGGACTTTTATCATCCAACAATATGAAATGGAAATGTTAAATAAAATATTAGCTAATGAAAAATAGATATATAGACATCATCCAAAATTTGAAATTAAACGAACAGAGACGGAGTCAACATTAATAACTTTGTGGTATGTTCTGCCGATGGATGACAAGATATACCATTAAACTTTTACAGAAATTGCATTGGTAAAAGGAAATGCCTTTTAATTTGAAATAAATGAAAAGGAAAACAAATGCCTTCAGAGAATGAATGGAGAGAAAGATCAAGCTATGTGTTACGAAAACCAATTATTCTAGAGCTGATTGTACTTTCTTAGCATTTGACAACCTTAAGAATCAACTTACGACTAATTAATCTGCTGTTGAAAATAAGGATTCAAATACTTGAAAACTATTAGCTACCAATCTATCTATAACAGCAATAGGTGATTTTAATTTACACACACAGCACACTACTTTAATGAAACATCCAATATCCTCCCCAAACGCTCACTTTCTAAGACTGCAAATAATTTAGTTAACGTGTTCAACATAATCAAAAACTTGATCAACTAGAAACTGAACAGTCATGAAAATGGTTGTTCCAGAAACAAATTTGGGATTGATCAGTAGCTGAAGCAGATAGATACTGAATCCATCGTATTGAGCAAGCAATGGCATGCTCCAAGTGCAATGCCATAAGACATCTAAAACCCCATGAATTCTTCACTTTTGAAACCAACAAACCCATGCTGGTGAGTTCAACAAGCTTGGGATAAGATTTGACAGGCAAAAAGCTTTACATTACTCCTCAAATTCCATCAGTTCAATAACATGCAACTCCCATCAGATGACCCACAAATGAAAGATGTCTACAATAGTGGATGCTAAGGCCATAAGAAAATAAAAATGAATAAGAGATCAGGGAACAATATAACGTTAAGGGTGAAAAAAACTGCAGTTTTAAAAAGTTTTGAAAGGAAAGGCCACACCTAGCACAAAAACAGGTCTCCTGTTATATGAATTTAAACAATGATAATAATTTTGATATAAACTTCAATAAACAATTAAAACATTTTTCGATCAAATTCAAGTATGACCACAGTTTTGGGGCACGGAGTACATACCCTTCTCATCCCCTTCCTCATCTGAAATTTTGACGAAGGGAACATTGTACCATCTGTGATTGGAAGGGAAAATTATGCGTAATTCTGGCACCCACTAAGCAAAGGGAAGCATGTCTACACAACTAAGCATCAACTTTAAAAAAAAAAAAGTTCCTGACTCACATAAAGAGTTGGAGAAGATGGGAAAAAGGAAGGAGCATCCTACAATAAGGAAGCCAATTAACAACGAATCAAGAACAACAAATCAAATATCCGGTTACGATTGAAGTAGGTTTCTGAAAATAAACAACTCCCTTTGGGAAGAAACAACCGATACTTTAGGTGACGTCGTCATCCACAGGACAGCTAGTTCCATAACAGGTTATAGACATCAAACATTGAATAGCGTTCGCTAAACAGAACAAAGATTTACATGTCGAGGCCTGTTCATTAATATGAAACTCGCACTGAGTGCCCCCCAATATGCGTCTTCCAAAGGATTCCAAACCTCGGAGATAGAAAACATCCATATATCAGAGGAAATACTATGATTTTCAAACTAGTAACTGATTCTATATTCCAAAGGACCAGAAATAAAAGAAAGAGAGCAGGATCCTTAGGAAACAAGGGCTTCTCATGGCGTTTTAAGACCTCCGTCATATTACTGCGATGTCAACCCTACACCACATCCCATCGAACTCATATCCGATCGCTCGTCTTAGAGGTAGACCTGAATTCCTTACGACCTCTAAGAACATACGCATCATCTTAATCACGTCAATGAATCCTAAAATCCAAGAAAAACTAAACAAAGCGTTCTAGAAATCGCATCCAACAAAATAACAATAGACGAATCATAAAGGAAACACCAGACCATCAAACACATTAAGAATCAGAAAAGCGTAAAAACTCACAACGACGTGGAATCAGTTGTAATAGAGCTCGAGACCCATGCCATCATGGATCTCGTAATCCTTGAGGGTGATGTGATCCTTGTAGATATTGTACCACTTCTGGATCCTGATCTTCTCGGCCCTGGTTCCGGTCTGAGCGGCAACGAGCTTCTTCAAGTCGCCGATCGTGTCGTCCTCGTTGCACTTCACCCGGACCTTCTTCCCGAGACGATCGTTGAGAACCACCTCAATCATCTTCGAAACCCAATGGAATTGAGAGAGAATTTTGTGGATTTGAAGAAACTTGGGGGGATCAATGCAGTTTATATAGCGAAGGAATGAAGGGATGCGTGTTGAACACGCATCTTGAAAACGCGTTTGTCTAACTTATATTCCTGATGTGGGGTCCACGCGGCCCTTTCTCGAAAATTCCCGTTATCTTCCATTGCTTTTGAATCCAGGGCTATTTTTAGTTGGGAATTTTTTTTATAAATAAAAAAAATAAACAATTTTTATTTACTTAATTTAATATTAAATCACAAATTTAGTAGAATTCTAATTTTAGTATTAAATCACAATTTTTGGAGAAAATTCCATAATTCATTTTAAACCATATATTGGGTTGGAATAAATGAAAAGTTATATAGACGGGATTAGTTGTACGAACCACTGTAACCCAAGTAATTTATATTTGAGCTGAATTAGTTTTATTATTTAAAAAAAATTTACCATCCAATCTGATATAAACAAGAGACACCAATGTGGAGAAAATATTGTTGAAATTATAAAAAGATATTTCAACTCATGCCACATTAAAAAAGAATGAAGTTTCATGTTATAAATTTGGGTGGATTACAATTTAGAGTAATTTAAAATTATTATATTTCATTAATATATTTTAAGACTTTTTATTTACATTAGTTAGTTTACAGTTACATGTGAATTATGGTCATTAGTTAGTTTCATTTTGAGGCTATATAAAGTCATGTATGTTGTATTTATAAGTAGACTTGAAAATATAGTAAGAGGAGCATTTGTGCTCCCTTTACCAATGACTAAGTTTCTTTGCAATTATATGTAGTTTAGGTTGCAGGTAGAATCATTAAAGCTCGACATGATCAATCTTGCTTGTGAAATGATTCGAATCTCAAACAAATGTTCTTGCGTTGAGATATTTGATCAACAAAAATCATTCAAGCTAGACATGATCGATCTTGCTTGTGGAGTGATGATTCGAATCTTAAACAATATTCTTGTTTTGAGATATAATATCTTATCAGAAACAATTAGATCGAGTCAAACAAATGCACCAACTCTAGTTACATTCAAATTCTTATATAATTAAATATAAAATTATATGGAATAAGTTAAAATTTTATAAATTAAATAGGCACAAAAAAAAATACAAATGGAATATATTTATTTTTAAATATAATTAAATCATAATGAAAATAGAAAATAGAAAATTAACACAAAATTTAATGCCGTGGAGGGTATAATATTAGGTTTACTTTATCTTTTAGGTGAATCATACTGCGAGAAAACTGTGGGGGCGTTTTGGACATTTGTTATTTGGAGGAAGGATGAAAATGGGTTGGATTTGGTCAATTGCTTTTTGTCGTTCTACCGACCACCCCATTTCTTTATTTTTAATTCCACCCCATGTTTTTTTTTTTTTTTTTTTT